CTTTTTCCAGAAACACGCGTTCTGCTAGGTCCAAATTCCCTTGTTCCATCTGCCCCGTTGCTGCCTCCCTTCCAGTCGTTTGCAGAGTTAGAACAATGAAACCCCAGCCACCTTAGCCTGTGGGCAGGAGGTGTTTACCCCATGACAATACTTGGCATAGTTTGCCCACCTCCCTAATCCCAGGGTGTTGAGTTCACTGTAACTCAGAAAGATTACAGGTAAACCAAAATTAGGTTTGTCAACCCTGCCTTCCTTTCCCAAAACCATTTTTAAAATAAATCTTTTAATTAGGACTGTATGCATGATATCAAATCCTGTTGCAAACATCTTGCCTACCCAGTTACTAAAGGTTGGCTGAGCCGCTCATTTCAATAAACATTTGAGGTACGATAACAAATAGTTTACTGATGCCTGAATGTGACATCTGCTGCTTTTCCCATCATCTGCCAAATTGTTAATTCCATCAAAATATCAGCCAGCCTTATTTGTGTTTAATAAGACATGGTTCCATTCTAGCTCAGCTGACTAGAGATGTCTGAGCAATGTCCCCTGTATTGTAAATTTTAATAGTTGGCTTCAAACAGAAATACTCTTTTCCTACGGAGATCATTCCTGCATTTGCTGGAGGTCCCATCTAGTCCTTCTCTCCTAGTAGATCTAATCATTTCCAGCTGGATCAAGTTCCTCTTCTAGCCAAGGACTGACTTCATTCATTCCTTCTTTTTTCTAATATTACAAAAATACTGGTGCAAAATACACAAATCCATGAAAAAAGAGGCCAGAAATAGACCCTATTCTAAGTAAAACAGAGGTGATTTTAAAAAGAAATCACAAATCAATGGAAAAGATCATACAGAACTGCGCAATAAATGTTGAAAAAGAAAATAAGTCTCATTTTAGGCCCTATTTCATACTGTACTTCAAGATGAATTTTTTAAAGCTATAGAGGAACTGGAGATGGGGGGTGGGGTACTATAATAAAAAAGAGGTCTTTCCAATTTAGAAGCAACAGAGTAATTCTCCCGAGGAAAAGATTTAACATTTCCAGGTACATCCATCTAGCCTGTACCTAGTCCATGTGACTATTTTAAAGAAAATGGTAAAAATTAAAAGGCAAGACAACATGGGCAAGAAATAATTACAGCAGAATGTAACATAAAAATAAATATCTTTATAATATAAAGAACTGATAAAAATAAATGAGAAAAATGAAGTAAACTATGGTACATTTACCCAAAGGAATATTATACAGCTCTCAAAAACTAAAAAGTGAAAGGTCGTGTAATACAAATACATGCGTAAGAAAGTTAAGTGAAGAGAAGCAGGATGTGAACTTGTCACGACTACTTTGAACTATATAAAAATAGAAATAGAGAACCACGCACAGGGGAAGCTATGGACAGGCAACATCACAAAACGTCATCAGTGGTTTATTAGGTTGTAGAGGTTATTTTTTCATTTTGCTTTTTCCTCTTTTGTCCAAAATTGTGATAATAGTGAAATAAAAACATTTATTTTTAAAAACCATCTCTGTTTTTTGGAATTTAAAATTGCTGCGGGTGAGTGGAGCTAGGTACCCTACCCACAGGATATGCTCTGGTCCCTTGGTCCAGGTGATGTTCACGGCATCATCCCTTCTCCCCAGCTAGGAAGACACCGTACCAAGTGTCAGGGGAGGAAGTGTTCTCAGTCTTGAGAAGTGAATTTTAAGTGGCGTTTGCTCCTCTCCTAGAGTCAATGACCCAGCATAACAGCAGAAATCTGTGGAAGAAATTTTCCCTTGCATATGATAGAAATGAAAGATTAAAATCCTCATTTTGTGGAGGCCTCCTGGGTGTCATCTCTAATCCACTATAGAGCCCCAAATTCCTTTTACCTGATAAAATTAGGGTGTGCCTAAAACTGCCTAGAAACTGAATCACCAGGAAGTGAATTTGTCTGCTAAGCTAATCATAACATCTACTCATTTATTGAATGGGTACTACATGCCCAGAACTGTGTTGTCATGGTTTTATGTCCACAAATTCTTTGATACTCCTCCCCCAAAGAGGTGGAGCTTAGGCATCTTCTTTTGGGTGTGGGCTGGACTTAGTGATTCACTTCTAGCAAATAAAATACAGCAGAAATGACGATGTCATTTTCAAGATTAAATTATAAAAAAGACTGTGGAGTTCATCCATGGAGACCGTGCTTTTCCTTTCCCTCCCCCTACCCCCCGCCTCCCTGTCTTCCCTCACTGTGGAAGGCTACCTGCCATGTCAAAAGGACATCCAGTACCGAGAGGCCCATATGGCAAGGAACTAGACATATCAGCAGCCCTACCCCAGTCCAGCCTTCAGATGACTGCAGCTCTGGCCACGACCTTGAACACAGTCGCATGAAAGACCCTGAGCCAGAACCACACAGCTAAGCAGCTCTGATTCCTGGTCCACAGAAACTTAGTGATAATGTTTATTGTTTTAAGCTGCTAAATTTTGTGGGAAGTTATCTGTTACACAGTAATAGATAAATTTTGTGGAAAGTTATCTGTTACACAGTAATAGATACTAATACATGCACTAAATAGCTTACCTACATTAATTTAATTCTTACCACAGCCCTAAGAGGTAGATATTACTATCCCCATTTTACAGCAACCTGAGGCTGAGAACAATTACACAGCAAGTGGTGTGGTACTTTTAAATCCACCTCCTTCAAGCCATCCTCCATATATTCACTCATTAAAGCAACCATTTCCACATCACCATCCCTGAGTTTCTTTCATGTGAACACTGGGTGACAAGAAATTAAGAGACCAAACAATTCTCAAACCTAGGAAAGTGTGTGGTTCCCACAGGAGGGCAGAGAAGTGTTGAAATGCTGATTACGAAAAAGGTACCCTCGGAAAGAGTACTAACCCATCACATCAAACCAGATGTCCTGTGATCCAGGCTGGATGGCATGACTCCAGATGGGAACAGGAAAGCTCTGGAGTCTGGACCATCTTCACCAGGCTTCAGCCTCCGGCTCCTCTGATCTCTGACCAATCACAGCATCAACTCCAAAAGCCAAATTGGAATCTTCTCTAGAAAAGAAACTATAAGCAGCATCATATGACTGCAGATGCTTATTTTTTAAGTATGGTGAAAATGCTGACTGGGGAATGGTTTTTGTCAGACTGCAGGCTTTAAAAAAGCATTTAATTCAATCTGGCATCCCAGACGGAATGTAAATCTGCTGCAAAGTGAAGTTGATGGGCAAATATATGAGATGCCTTAGCCCAAGTATTTAATCCAAGTACATCACACGACCAATCCATCAAGCCTGAAATAAAAAATAGCATGCAACAGATGTATTTAAGCAGGGAAGAAAGGACCAACAGAATGTCTCGCTCCTTTCTCAGTTCTGCATAAATAAGACTGATTTGCCTACTCTTCTAAGGAAGCCCCAAGTTTAGTGAGAACTGCAAAATCAAGTGTGTCGACTGCTTTTTCATTCCCTTTACTGTCACCATCGCAGACCAGCCTCTCAAGTCATTCCAAAGCATTATAGATTAATTAGATGCAGCAAAGTCCACCACCAATAACAAAAAAATGACAATGCAATATCTCAGAGTGTTCAGAGTATGTTATAATCTGTCATTGTGGTTTAGAAATAAAGCAACTACAAAAATGTATGAGATGAGCCCCTTAACATCAGCCATGTTTACGTTTTAAATAAGTCAGTCTATCAGGAAAGGAAAAGGTGCCCAGAAGCCTGCCGTGAGGCGCTGTGGTAGATTAAAGATGGACGAAATTTCTTTGGCAACTCCTATCAAGATGTGAGGTCCATGTCCCCTTCCCCTTGAATTAGAATGGCCTCAGAATGTTTTGACTAAAAGAACATGGTAGAAGTGATGCCAGGCCAGTTTCTGGGCACAGGCCCTAGGAGGCCGGCAACTTCTACCTCCTCTCTGGGAACCCAACCACCATACCATGAGACAGCCATGTGACAGCCGGCACCAACTGGCAGCCCCGTGGGTACACCATCTTGGAAATGGATGGTCCAGCCCTGGTTGACCCTCCACAGTTGACCTCCCCACGTGGAGCAGAAATGAGCTGTCACTGCCAAGCCCCCCCAAAAGTTCATATTTATGAGCAAAATAACTGTCTTTGTTCTAGGCCACTAAGTTTTGGAGTAGTTTGTTACACAGCAATAGACAAGAGAGACAGGCACCAGGGACAAATTATAAAGGTGGTTTTGAAGGTAAATTTGTAAGAACAGGCATAATATCTGCATTAGCTATTACTAATAAGCAAATTACAGAGATAACTGCAGAACACACCCATCAAGTCACTTTAAGTAAAATATAGCTATGGTTTTACACCACTTGGTGTACCTATACTAAGGGATCAATTAAAAAGAAAAGGAAAAGGAGAAGCAGCATGAGTAAGTTAGATAAAGGAAGAGAGTGCCTGGAGACTCAGTGGCTACACATTATGTGGTTGTCTGACATTAACTGGTGGAAACTCAGAAGTCTGATGTCTGTCTTTCCTTCAGGAAAGCCACAAGTAGCCTGTGCAAGTCAGCAAGACACACAGGTATCTCAAACACTCTGCAAGATCAAACACTCTGCACTTGAAAGGGATCTGCGTCTATGCAAAACTAAACTGTCTCAGCACAACTTTCCGTGATCAAAGGACCCTCCTTCAATATCAAAGACTTCCCAATTTTGCCAGACATCAATAAATCAAGAAGCTATATGGTG